ATCATCAACAACACAAACGCTCTGCTCACTCGCGCCCATACTGCTCATACAAGATAAACTCACCACTGACAGACCAGGCCACAGTGGCCAGGAGGGCCACCGCCAACACTAGGGCACTCGCAACCAGCTGCATCGCAGATGACGAGGAAGGTAGGTTGCTTGACAATGAATGCGGGTGATGAATAAGTGAATGAATGCCTGGCTGGCTGGCTGGGGATGGCGCGATTTGGGAGCAGAGCGTGCTGATGAAGCTATGACAATAAGCAGCACTGCCTCCGACGCCGCGCACAAGAACTCGTTGCTTCTCGTCTTACTTCGTTCCTGTTTTGCCTGCCTGCAAGCAAGCAAGCAAGCAAGCTCCGCTCATCAGGCAGTCAGTCAGACGCGAAGAAACCGTTGATAGACTGAATTCAGCATTTTACCTGAATTCAGTGTGTGTATGTTGTGGGCGGATATGAGCGGAAGGCGAAGCACAACGTCGCATGTGGACGTGGACCGGCTGCGACTGCTCTTTCGCAGAGCACAAGCCAAGGTCGAGCTTTGCGTGTGTGTATGTGTGTGTGTGTCTCTGTGTGTCTGCCTCTGTGTGTGTATGTGTGTCTGTGTCTGCGTGTGTATGTGTGTGTCTGTATGTGGAACTCGTGTCATGGTGTTTGGAGCAAAGCGATGCTGCTGCACCGCCTCACGTTGTTATGTGTGATTATATTGCTGTCAATTGGTATGTTCTTGACGGCACTCGTGCAGAAGAGTCCGCCTTTGATCTTAAAGTACGGCCTGAAGCTTGGAAAGCGTTTGAGGAAGGAGAAACAGCATGAGGAAGCAACAGACGTGCTCAGCGCCACCCTCTTGAATCAGGTACTTGCTCGCCTTCACGTGTCGCGTGCGCGCATTGCATGTGTTTGTGCGCTTTCATCGTAGCGTGTGTTTGGTACCACATTGGCGTTGACCTCTCCTCTTTTCACATTGGGGTGGCGCCCCACAGTTTGTCTCTCCCGTTGTTCCTCATCACATCCACTCACCGACGTATGCATTCGCACCCACTCACCTCCTTGCGCGCACTGGCAGATGGACAATGTCGGAGAGGATCACGCAGACACCGCGCTGGTGCTGGTGGCGCTTGGGGATGTGTTCGAGGCCAAGGGCAACTACGCGCGTGCAGTGACGTACTTCAACAAAGCCTTGCCCATTCAAGAAGCGCAGCTGGGCAAAGACCACGACACCACCACCAAAACGGCGCTCAAGTTGGCGTCCATCCAGAGCCACCAGGAAGAATACTACGACAAGGCCCTGGAAGCTTACAGAGAAGCATTGCAGGTGGGAGCACTGGGGGCTGGCTCTGCGTGTGTGTGTGTGTGTGTGTGTGTGTGTGTGTGTGTGTGTGTGTGTGTGTGTGTGTGTGTGTGTGTGTGTGTGTGTGTGTGTTGAGGGGGGGCACGCGCGCACGTGGTCGTGAGTGATGAATGAGTCTGAAACCCCAAGTACCTGCGGTTGACGTCGTTTTTTTTTTTGGGTCTCTATGCTTTTCGTTCTCTGTGTAGATCAAGCTTGACAATGTTGGCGAGCTGCATCCATCGACTGCCGTCACACTCATTAATCTCGGCCTCGTGTGCAAGCAACAAGGTCCGTGTACAGCAACAACAACAACAACAACACGTGATGCGCCCTCAGCGTTAACCTTGCCAACCATCTGCAGCAACACAACAAACACAACACAAACACACACACGCACACGCACACACACACGCACGAATACTGGCTGCTTCTGACTGGATGTGTGTGTGGATGTGCGTGTGTGTGTGTGGATGTGTGTGTTGTGTGTGCCCTGTGTGCAATGCAGGTGATATGCCACGGGCCCTGGAGTATCTAACACATGCGCTGACCATTCGCTCGCGAGTGTTTGGCACAACCCACGTCGAAACAGCCGCATGCATCACACACCTCGCAGACCTCTACAGGTGGGACGTGTGTCGATGTGTGTGCCTGTGTCTGTGGGTGTCTGTACCTGTGTCTGTGTGTCGGTCGGTGTCTGTACCTGTGTGTGTGTGTGTGTGTGTGTGTGTGTGTGTGTGTGTGTGTGTGTGTGTGTGTCGGTGTCTGTACCTCTGTGTGTCTATGTCTGTGTCCGTGTCTGTGTTGCCTGCTTTCCTATCTACTTGCCCGCTGACCTGTTCCCTTTCGTCGTGCCTGGCTTGCACATTGTCCGGGATTCTCCCAAGAGTTCTCACACTGGTCCATTCGATGGTCCTTTCATCACCTTTTGCACCACGCCCCCCCCCCACATACACACACATACATACATATCCGTACTTTTACCTGCCTGCCAGGGTGGAAGGGTCGTATGACAAAGCACTTGAGTACTACAAGTGGTCGCTGTCCATCCAGGAAGCGCACGAACGCCCGCGCCACCGCGCCATCGCCGACTGCCTCTACAACATCGCCCTCATCCACAAGCACCTGCGTGCGTACAGCGACTCGCAGCAGGCGTTCACGCAGGCCGCACAGCACTTCACCATTGCGCTCGGCGCTGACGATGCAGAGACGTTGGACTGCGTTGCACAGGCGGAGCGCGCGCGAACACTGGCAGGACGTGAAACCCCACAGCATCTATCACAGGCAGACAACGAGGCGGAGACAGCCATCTGACTCCTGCTTGTGTGTGTGTGTGGTGTGGTGTGTGTGTGTGTGTGGTGTGTGGTGTGTGTGTGTGTGTGTGTGGGTGTGGGGTGGGTGTGGGTGTGGGTGTGGGTGTGTGGGTGTGGGTGTGGGTGTGTGGGTGTGGGTGGGTGTGGGTGTGGGTGTGTGTGGGTGTGGCCTACTGGGCGTGTGTGTGTGGATGTTGTGTCTGTGTGTGGATGTGGGTTGGTGTGGGTGTGGTGTGGGTTTGTATGTGTTGCCTTTGTGCGTCTGTCTGTTTGTCTGTCTGTCTGTATCGACTCTGTATGTGCGTGTTCTGAATCGAGGTTGTGGTATGCACATCTCCCACCCTTCTTTTTCTATTTCGTGCTTCACCTCTTTCCGTGCTGCCTTTCTTCTTTGGATCTGTGCTTCATCCATTCAAAACGTGCAAATGTACAGCTCAACTCCAAATCAGCTCGCTCCAAGAGTGAACGTTCATGTGTATGCACACAAACAAACAAAGCCAAGCAGCCACACACAACTCCACAAACAAGCGCACATCCACACACACACACACACACAAACAAACAAACAAACAAACACCCACACCCACACACAAACAAACAAACACACGCACACACAATCCAAGCTGCTACGATGCTTGTTGTTGGTCAGCATCAGTCCTGACCTCCTTCACCGCAGCTGTCTGCTTGCTCTCCTTCGGCTGCTTCTGCTTCTGCTGCTTCCTTCCACGAGCAACATCATCCACCTTCACACCTCCACCTTTCCCATTGCCCTTCACCTTCGCCTTCACCTTGTCCTTCCCCTTCTTCTCCCCTTTCCCTTTGGCATTGCCGTCCGCACCACCAATCGTTTCGATATCGCCATCATCATCACCCTCCTCCTCCTCCTCTTCGGGCTTTAGCGCCGTGAACATGTGGTCGATAGCCGGCGTCATGGCTGTCAGCTCCTTCGCCCTCCGCAGCACCACGCTCATCAGGTCAAACCCAAACGCCGTGTGCTCGCGGCTCTTGGCGTCGAGAACAGGGATCTGCGGATACCGCTGCGAAAAATGCGTGAGGATGAGCATCTTGGCGCCCATCTGCTGCGCCACGGTCACGGCGTCGCTGGTTGTGCTGTGGTTCTTCTGCACCGCCTGGTCCTCCAGCCCGTCCTCAAACGTCGCCTCGTGCACAAGCACGTCCGCCCCTTTCCCCGCGCCAACCATCGACTTGCACGGGCGCGTGTCCCCGGACCACGCAAACCGGTACCCGTCGTCAAAGTCAAGCACAAGCCCGTAGGCAGCGAAGCAGTGCTTGACTGCAGGTGTTGCGAGCGCACGCAGGCCCATGCCCGCCATCGCCCGTGCATATGCGTCCTTGACGTGGGGCGGCACGAAGCGCGGCAGCTGCCAGTGCGCAAAACGTGTCCAACGTGCATCGAGGAACACGGCGGTGGCGCAGGAGAGGTGGGCCGTGTAGCGCATGAACAGCCACAGAAAATGCGGGGCGACAACAACGACGGGCGGCGGGTCGTCCACGCCAACAGCAGCAAACGCTTCACGGCGCCGCGCAAGCACACGCGTGAGCCCAAGGTGGTGGTCTGCGTGCATGTGCGAGATGTGCACGAGGCGAAGCGACCGCAGCACCGCGGGCATGTGCTCTGCACCAAACTTGCGCTGGAGTTGGCTGAGCGAGCCTTCGCCGCAGTCCAGCAGCATCGATGCAGCCACGTCCTTGTTCACGGTCGTGGCGCCGTCGCTGTCCACCCAAATTCCGCGCGTCAGCAGCATGCCCGTGACATTACGCAATTGCGACGGGACCGCGGATCCAGTGCCCATGAAATGCAGCACACGCTCATCAGGGCGGAGTGCAGCCAGTGAATCACCACCTGTCCCGGACGCTGTTGCTGTTGCTGTTGTTGTCGTTGTTGGTGGTGCTTTTGCGGGTGTTGTTGTCGTTGGTGGTGCTGTTGTTGGTGGTGGTGCTTGTGCATGTTCATTTTGTTGTGGCAGGAGCCGTTGCATGTCAGGCAGCGCCATGACTGTTTCTCTGCACTCTTCAGGGGAGACGATGGGTAGGCAGGTTGTGGCGTCCGTGAGGAGGCCGTCCCGCCGCTTGGAGAGAAACACGCGATACAGCGGCTGTGCAGACACCACGCTGCAGTTGTCTGGCAGCGCGTGTGGCACGGTCAGTTCCGGGACGGTGGATGGAACAGGCGCCATGGCAAACGGTGTCGGCCCAATCGTTTGTAGCATGTACTGTCGCCGTAGCGGGCATATGGTGCGCGCACGTGCGTGCACGTGTGTGCGTGCACGTGTGTGCGTGCACGTGTGTGTGTGTGTGTTTGGTGTGTGTGTGTGTGTGTGTGTGTGTGCACGTGTGTGTGTGTGTGTGCACGTGTGTGTGTGTGTGTGTGTGTTTGGGGGATGGTGTTGCGCAGGCGGGTGGATGGTGTTGAGGATGTGAGGCGGAGACGATACAAGTTGAGCAGCCTTGACGCACAACCAAGGCTATGAGGGCACACACACACACGCACATGTACACACGCGCGCGCACACACACACACACACACATACACACCTGCAGCTTTGTTGAGGAGATGGTGGTGGCGTGCGGGTTGTGCTGCGGGTCAACAAAGACGTGGGTGACGTTGGGGCCAAACTGTTGCAAGAGTTGCGCATATGCGTCCGTCTGCGCCAGCGCCTGCGAGGTGAAATGCACCACCTTTGGCATGCTGCTGGGCATTGCGCGGAAGGCATCAAACAGCTCGCTGCGGGCAATGGTGGCCTCCAGTGCCGCGCGTGTTGGGATGTGGACAATGGCAAAATGGGGGAGCGGGTCCACGGGATCAAGCACATCTTCAGGCTTCACCACACGTCCGTCATCCAGCGTCACTTCGTTGCCCTTGCCAAGCTGCCCCCAGAGTGGCCCCTTTGGCACGCCTGCTGCCTTGGCCTTTTGCACGTTGAACTTGCCTGGCCGCGGATTGACGAGCGAGCCCACGTACGCCAGCGCCGTGTCGCGCGTGCTCTCCGCAGCGGCGAGCGTCTCCTCTGCTGTTGGCGGCACGAGCGTGAGCTGTGGTGCCGGGTGTGGTGGTGGCGATGCAGACTCCAATCGAGACGAAATGGGCGATGGCGTGCGCTGCCGTGCTGCGTCGTGGCCGTTCCCAGCTGACGGCTGCTGCTGCTGCTGCTGCTGCTGCTGCTGTTGACCTGGTGATTGGTCTTGTTTGGGCTGCGGGCGTGTGAACAAAGGAAGAATATGGGCGCGTGTGAAAAAGACAAAGGGCGTGCATCGCTGTGCAGTCACACAGAGAGGGAGAGAGAGAGAGAGTGACAGACAAGCTTATCCGCACACACACGCACGCACACACGCACGCACTCACACACACGCACACGCACGCACACACGCACACAGACGCACACGCACGCGCACACAGAACGAAGGACGGATGACTGTGTGGTGATACTCACTTGGAGACGAACCTTCTTGGCGGGCAAGGTGTGCGGTTCGTGCGTGGCGTGGTGGTCAAACTCGGCGCCAATGTTCTGGCTGACGGGCGGCGCTGCTTGCTCCATGTACTTCTGCTGCTTGAGCGCAGAGATGACGTGCGGGTGCAGCGCTGGGGTTTGGTCGCGCGCGTGAATCGTGAAGATTTTCATGCGCAAGCGCCCGTCATCAAACTCCGAGACGGGGTCTGTGTACTCGCGAAACTCACGGTAGAGGCTGGAGCGGTGCTGCATAAACGTCTTGGTGCCCTCAAGCATGGTGCTGAGGTGCGGTGGGGCGTGCAGGGCCACTGGATGCGACACCTGGTACATGTCCTGCATTGTCAGCAGCATGCCTGAAGTCGTGGCAGGAAACGCGAGTGAGATCGATGCGTCAGAGGGTCAGATGAGTGGGCGAGGAAAGAAAGGGGCGCATGGAGACAGGGAAGGGCGGTGGCAAAACGGGAATAGAAATGCAGGTGGTGATGGTGGTGTTGGTGTTGGTGGTGGTGGTGGTCAACAAAGTTGGGCAGGCCAGTTGTTGGTGTTGCTGAGCACCACGCGCGATAAGACGCACCTGGAAGGCCGCCGATGCACTCCCAGCTGCTCTTTGTGAAGAAGATGTCCGTGACTTGCTTCAGGCGAATCCTGATGCCAGCGAATACGCGTTCGGTTGCAGTACAAGTCAGTCAAGGCAGGGTAGAGGAGGAAAACAAACGAACGCGACGGTAATTGCAGTGGTGGTGGTGATGGTAGTGGTGCACCATTGATGTGGGAAGGGGTGCATGGCGAGTGCAAGGAGGAGGGTGGACCTTACTTGTGCTCCATACAGAAGCGCTGGATGCCTTCGCCCGTGTTGAAGAGATACCTGGGTGTGGTTGATGGCAGAGCACACAGACCGAACGCATAATGCAGTGGGTGGTAAGTGAGCCACAGCACCATGAGAGGATGAGGGTGGGGAGAGAGAGAGAGAGAGAGAGAGAGAGAGAGAGAGAGAGAGAGAGAGAGAGAGAGAGAGAGAGAGAGATGAAGAGACAGACAGACAGACAGAGACACAGAGCGAGACAGACAGACAGACAGACAGACACACGCGCGCACACGCGCACACACACACACAGACAGACAGACAGACACACACACACACACACACACACACACACACACACACACACACACACACACACGCTTT